CTGCAGCAGACCTGTCCTTGGTGTACCTTTCCTCTTGCCCTATGACATCTGAGATAGGCTCCTTCCCAAATGCATCTTTAAATTGGATAAGTGGAGGAAAATGTATGGGTGGATGGATGTGTCAGTATTTATAAACAATGACAAGGCCTCCTGCTACACTAAAAATTAGGCTGTTGTCCCAAGTGGTTAAGTCATCAGACGATGGCCAGTGGGCTCTCAGACTGGATGTTTCAATAACTAACTCTTTATTGAGCAACACTCAGGGGTACAAAGTCTGTTTTTGGTTTATGGGAGACCGCTATGATCTCAGCTATTACCAAAGAAGTAAGCGGTTATTGCCAGGAATTACCAATCGCTAACCAAGTATCTTCTTCTTCTTAATCGAGCTGTGAGTCGCCAAAAGTTCTCTTCAGAGCATTGTTCTGAGAATAATATTTTGAATAATAGACAACAACTAAACTTGTTTTGGACATTTTTTCAGTTTGTCCACTGGAAAACAATAATGTATCAACAGAATCACTTTTCATACTTCAGTGAACAAAGTGTAATTGGAAACCACAGATTTACAGACGATGTTGCCACTACAATGCTAAAACAAATCCCAAAGCAAGCCATTAACAGGTAATATGCAATTAGTTTCCATGTGAACGTTCGGCTCCAGCGGGAGAGATTAGTCTAACAAAAGATGTTCTACGGAGAAACAAAGCATGTGACCCGTCTGTGGCGAGAGACGAGAGAGGATGGAGTGGAGCAGGTGTGCTCACACAGGAGGGGAGCTCCACATAGGTGGGCAGGCATTTGACACCCGTCTAACCACACGAGGCTTCAGGGGTTGACAGGCGGTGCTGCAAGCTGCATGAAAAGTCACCGTTTCACACAGTGAAGATGGACTGCAGGTGATGCAGCTGCTATTTTTAACCCAAGGCCTCCCTCCAGGACTGAGAGCTCAGTTTGAATTGTTTCCCCCTGCCCTTTCCTTCTCTCTGCTCGCAGAAGTCTCTTCCATGAACGTTTAGTATTCGTTTTCCAAACCTCCTCCATAAAAAACATTTAATAGCACAAAAGTAAAGGAAATGATTGCGCTTCAGAGTGATTTATTTATTTAAAAGTCTTTTAGAAGGACTGAATCACTTGTTTGAATGGCAAATGATCGAACGTTGTTTTAATTTTTCTTCAACATCCAATAAAGTGAAGGACACTTTGTTTCATCCTTTGAAACTTCCGTCACATAACTGCACAATAAACTTCTGGGTGTTTTCTCAAAGCATGTTTCATGAGGTCGAAAATGTGAAATCAGATTTTAAAAACTGAGACTGTAACAGAACAAATGCTTCTCTCTCTGCTGCACCGTGTAAACTCTACTAGCTGACAGCATCTCTGTCTCCATTTCTCTGTTTTGTTTCCTGAAGAAGTGCCTGAAGCCCAGCCGAGCTGGTTGGTTCAGATTTATGTCGCAACCAACAGGGGATACATGTACCTTTTTTGGCAGTGCCACCAGGCTTTTGCCGTTGTGCCTTTGATTGTTATGACGCTGCAAAAAAAGAAGAAGAAGAAGAAGAAGAAGCTCCCAGCTCGTCGTAATGAATGTTTCACAGAGTGTGTGAAATTTTTGCTTAACAAGTCAGCCGGCCCAGTTTCTGCTCTGCTGTATGCTGCAGCAGCAGTACACACTGAGCGATGGGTGTCAGTGACAGTCGAGTATGTGCGTTCCCTGCTTGTTTTTTTTTTTAATCGATCAAGTGAAATGACTCAGTAATCCCTCATACTCTGAGGTCTAATATGCAAATAGGCCTGGATTTAAAGTGAAAATGCAATACAATATTTTACTTTACATGCTCGATGTTTTTGACAAGGAAGAAAAAAATAGCTTGAAAATGAGAGTGAAATGAAAAAGAAATATATAAATGAGCTCTTGGTTTCCCTGTGACTATAAAAGTCTTTTATGCCTAAAAAATCTGACAGTTTGGACTTTAAAGGGGTGCTATTATGTTCATTTTCAGCATCGTATTTTATTCTGGGGCTCTACTGGTGAAACCTTTCATGATTCACAGCTCAAAAATAAGTGCGCTTTTCATTTTTTACTGGCCATTTATGCAGAATCTCGGTACATGTTCTGGCTGAAACAGTCTCAGCTTCTGTCCCTTTAAGCATATGTGCACTTAAAGTTCGCTTCTGCTATCTCAGACGAAGTTAGCAGTTCCCTGTTCAATCCTGAAATTCCCACCAACTTGTTTTGGAAATTTCAGTAAAATAAGGACATTCGCGATAATGCCAGCCAGCCAAACATTAAAGAAGCATTTTGACATTTTGTAAATGGGTTTATTTTCTTTTTTTGCTTAGGGTTAAATAAAACTATCTATGCCACTCATCTGTGAGCTGAAGAGCCAGGTGATGGCTAGTTCACCAGGGGAAAGTGCAGGGAGCATAAAATAATCCACCAACAAGCAAATTCACATTTATTAAATTACCTGAAGAAAACAACTATTTGTGGTCTGTTTGCATTGAAAATATATTCTGATGTGTTTCTTTGCACATCTCACCAAAAACGACTCCTTTTGATACATCCAGTGGGGCCGTGACAGGAAAATCACTGCGATAAAGCACAAGGATCACACAGCGACACACAAAGAGGATGAGACACGTACGCTCACTCAGAGCCTGAACCGAGAAGTTGCAAGGGCAGCCCCTAATACACACAGCAGCTTGCATGCATGCATCTTTTACCCTCCTGCACATCAGGTGTCCGTGTAAAGCCAGAGCTCACGCAGAGCACAGACGTACAGCCCTTGCACGCAAACACGTACTGTATGTGCACCCTGAGCAAAACTGTGTGTGGGGCTTCTTCGCCTTGTCAACAGGATGAGAAGCTGGGAGATAGAAGCTGGGGCATTAGTCTCTTTGGGGCTGGCTCTGGGATTTCCTGCAGAGGACAAAGTAGGAAAATACAATATCATATAAATAGATTCTCTGCGCTCAAAATACTGATATGGCTTCAAAGGGGAGGGCTGCAGGGGGGATGGGGGGGCAGATGAGATTTGCATTGAAATTTCTGCCTACTGTGTGTGTTTTCTTTCATCCATGTGGATCTTTGCCTCACTTAAGTGTTATTGTATTTTTCTTTCACCTCCCACTGGGCAACAATAGCATTAACAAAGCTTCTTGATGCAGCATAATTTGTTGATAGAGGGTTCTTTGTATATGATTCCTGGGTCTGTCAATAGCACCCTGTTTGTGACTGTAATTTTATCATTTTAAGCTGGCTGTGAAGGTGGGTTTCCATCGGTGGCTTTATGTATTCTGAGCATTTGCTCAACAGGCCGCTTCACTGGAAGGCTGAAATTCATTGTCACCCCAACTGTGTTGCATGCAGGGTGGAAAGGAGCCAGCCAGTCAGCCCACCGTGCAAACTACAGCTGGAAGAGTGCCTGTCTGCCGAGCAGGTGCCCACCCCAGAGCTCATCCAGGGCTACGTCAAGAAGGTAGGTCTTACAAATGCCAAGCTGAATGTCTTGTTAGGTTGTGCCCAGCTGGAAAGAGGATAGCAAGAGATAGGGAGGGATGATTGCAGAGAAATTGCAGTGGCTTTTACTCCAAGCAGATGAATGCAGTTGGTGGTTTCTCTAGACGTCATTATTTCTGCTACCAAACCTTAAATTGCTTTATTCAGCATGTCACCTTGTCTGAAGAGCCGGAGAACACAACACTTAAATGCCTACAGCTCCACCAGCAAGCAATCATGTTGTAATCTTTTAATAACACCTTGTCGCCGGATGTTTGGAGCAAAGTTGCCAATGAAGAGGAGTGACGAAGTTTGATTTATTTATTTTTAACATAATTGCAACTTTACACCTTGATAAAACGCAGACATATTCCACAAATTAATAGCAACATTACAACTTTCATTCTTTCATTCAGTCATATCTGCAGTGTTGAATTGTTATTGGTAAAATACAGTAGAGCCAAATGGATATAGGATACCGATGTTTGGTGATTTAACTGTGAGATAAATGCGCTGATATTTTGTTTTTGATGAGGGGAGTTTCACACAAACAGATTTCCCTGATGTTTGCTATGTGTTGCTCTTTTTTAGCAGCAGGTAGGTGCTCTTTCTATACTCTCAACATCACGTCCACATTCTGCAATCCTGTCTGTTTTTCTTTCGCGAAATAAAATCACATTTCTGCTCTGATGTTCAACAATTTTTGCAGTTGTTCTGCAAATGGTGACTAAATAGTACAAGATCCATAGTCTAAATATTATAGTTTAGGATTATTAACTAAAAGCTGTGACACGTAGAGAGGGCACCAGACCTACAGTAAGTAATTAAGTCTAGTATGAGCATTAGTCAGATTAAAGACTGGTAAAAAAAAAAAACTACCTAAACCCAAGATAATTATTTTATAAAAGAGGGATCTGATCAAAGGTTGCCCGAGCATCTCCAGCCTCGACCCACATAATTAGATCCAATCCAAAATGAGATTAGCTGACCCAAATACTCACAGACCACCAACAATTAGCAAATAATGAGCAGCAATAGAGTCATTTTA